CATGTATTTGTCAACAGAGTTGTTGCGTTTTTTCTTTCTGTGTGCTAACAATTTTGGCGGTGTTTCCGTATTGTAGCATTTCTGCAAACAATTTCTGTTACCAAGGTCTGCGCCGAAATTGTCAAAAACAGAAATTGTTTGCTGGGTATATATATACTATAATACATATTCTAAAAAATATATATAGAAATAGTGTGTGTGTACACACACACACAAATACTATTTTTTAATATTTGTATATATATAAATGTTTATATACATATATCGTGCAAATGTCTCTTTGTTCGCAGGATTTACTTTGGTGGGAAGACAAACACAAACCTTCACTAGGATTGAGTATCGAAATGACGGCGTACGCTGTGCTATCGTTAGTAAAATTAGGTGGAGAAACAAACTTGGTAGAAGCGCTAAAAGCAGTCCGTTGGATGTCAAAACAACGTAACGCGAACGGTGGCTTCACGTCTACGCAGGATACTGTACTTGGTTTGGAGGCACTCACAAAATACGCCACGGCAATATCGAGTGACACCACGGATTCCTCGGTGCTCGTGACCGCCGACGACGTGGACCAAGTGTACAAAATGAACAATGACAATCGCATGGTCCTCAAACAGATTCGTTTGCCTGTGATACCTACGACAGTAGAGATTTTTGCCGAAGGCGAAGGTTGCGTTTTAGTACAGGTGTGTGTATGTACATAGTACTCTTCACATTTTTATAAAATAGTCTGAAATTATATTCATATCAAACTAAAAACACGTAGAAATAAAACATGAAAGTTTCTTGAGAATAGTTAATATGAAATAAAACTAATTTCACAGAGTAATTTAAAGTATAACGTTGCACACGCGACCGGTTCCGAAGCCTTCGATCTTTCAGTTAATGCCGCTTCCGCGACATTTGCGGACGAATGCTCGATGCAGGAAATTACAATTTGCACGCGATACAAAATGGCAGATGGAGAAAGTAACATGGCATTATTAGAAGTCAATATGATAAGTGGATATGTTCCAGATCGTACGAGCCTTCATTCTTTGTTGAAAGATTCGGGCAAAAGTGAGTGCGCAAGATAAGATTGTTATGTAGGTTGAGTTATTGAGATCTAAGAAAATATTTATTTCTTTGACAGAAGTGAAACGTTTTGAAGAGAATCAAGGTATGGTCACTATTTATTTCGACAAATTGGTAAATGAAAAAACATGCATTTCGTTTACAGTAGTCAGAGAAAATATCGTTGATAAACTCGAACCAGCGAATGTAAAACTTTATGATTATTATCAGCAGGAATTGACGATATCTAATGTAAGTTTATACAAACGCTTTTACATAATATAATAAATACTATTCCAATAATGGTTCGATGAAACAAATTAAAAGAAAAATAATCAAAGAGCCTGTGATCCAAGTTGAAGGATAATCAAAAACAACTTAAAACGCAGTGTATTCCGGACGTTTCGATCAAATTTTATTGGTGATTATCTTCAGCATTGAATACGAAATAAAAAATAAAAAATAGAATAGAATAGAAAAACATCAGTTAGATAGAAAAATACATAAGAAAAGATACGTACAAAAACTTTTTTGAATAAATATGTACAGTGCGGAGCACCATATCGTGCGCCGTGAGGAGAAGAAGTTCTCCTCCGGCTGCCTCCTACTAGCACGCGCCAGCGACCCGAGATTTAATCCATATGTACCGGCACGGTTACCGATGACACATACCGACGCGGTTACCAATAATACCGACAGCCATATGTTACCATAAAATTATCACAAACATTGAAAAGAGTAACTGCATTGAAAGTGACTTTAATAATTTATATCATATTTATTTATTTAATTATTAGCTTTTACGTGATATAAGAAACTTACTTACGGTATGTGTAAAAAAGTAAAATATATTTAATTGAGAAAGTAAAAAACT